CACACACACACGCACACACACACACACAAACACACACACACACACGTGCACGCACACACACATACAACCTCTTTTTTGTAATAGAAGTGATAGAAGATCACACAGGGTTTCTTTTGTCCTTTGGCCATTGTGCATTGAGGTGTTGATTTGCTTCAGCCCAGGGCACTGTACTCTCTCAAAGATAGTTTGCTAACAGAGCTTTCACTCCATTGCCTCTAATGAAAATCCATACTAAACATTTAGCTCTGTGTGAGAAAGGGAGGAAATTCAATAAGACACATAACACAATTTATAAATTACAGGAAGAACCAATCGAACCAACAGGGAAAATGGAAAAATGTTTTTATGTTTGTATTTGTTAATTTTGCTTATTTTGGGCAATGTATTGTATTTTGTATGTGGCTTCCAGTGTGTGGTGAGCATAAAGAGGTTGAAATCTATTTTCTGGGCCAAAATGAAGTCTAGTGCTGGGTTTTTATTCCTTCTTCTTTTCCACAACGATTATCAGTCATGCCGCCAGAGATGTCTCCACTGAGGTATTCCCCAAACTAATGGTCGCTCTTGGACAGCACTATCGATAGTAAACTAATCTGAAGCCTGCAAGGCACAGGAAACAGATCTCATTAGCACTCACTGAACTATCTTCCAAGGAAACTTTCATCTTTAGACCACTCTGACAAGAGGCCTGAAAGCCAGACTAATGTCACTTACTAGTTCTGGGTTTAATGGCTGACTGAAAATGTGGATGGATGGATGGACAATGAAAGAGTGGAGGGATCTGTGTGAAGTTGTTTTATGTTTGTGTGCTTGACTGTGGGGTCATAAAGCGCTGTAGTTTAGCAAAAGCCATGGAACCATACAACCTTTTTGTTGTTAAATCAATGTTACTGCTAAATACATTTGGATTGTTTTTGATTATTTTGTTATGTGCATTTTTGCATAGTATATGTTTTGTGACAATTTGCTTATTCTGATATCACCTTCTTGTTCTGTATTTACATGCTAGACAGTATAAATATGTGATTTAAGTTGATCTAAATTAAGTCATTATAAACTAGCTGTGAAAAAAATAAACAAAAACATTTAACAAAATATTAAAAAAAGTCAATATAAAAATATATATGTAGATTCTTTCTATTCCTCTAGCTTCAAGTTAGATAAATATACTCACATTTAGAACGATGCTGCCACACCATGGCCGAAGCTATTAGATACACATGCAGCGTTTGAACTTCTAGTCATTCAACCACTAGAGGGCGACTTTGAATTCATCGCACATCCCGCGAGCTTTAGTGAGATCTCGTTGTTTGTTTACAACCCGAGAACTTCCTGTCTGATGAGAGTAGCATTTTGGTTTTTTTGTGTGTGACAGTGACTGTTTGAGCTAACTAGTTAGAAGTGAGCTTTCAAGATGGGTTGTGATGGTGGCACGATTCCCAAAAGACACGAGTTGGTGAAAGGGCCCAAGAAAATCGAGAAGGTGTGTTAGCTTTATTTGGCTTCAGTTTCCCTTCCGTTTTTAAATAGAAAATATCCCTGTTGGCGATATTTTTCGAACGCTAACAAGTTGCTAATGCTAATGGGCTAAACTAAGTATTGTTAAGTTTCGGGGTTTCATCATGAGAATAAAAAAGACATATTACGGTATTTTAAATGTGGTTTCTAATGTACGTTATGTAGTTGCTGTGAGTTTTCAGAATTTAACGCTAGTTAACATTATCTTGATGTGTTATAGACGAAGCTACATGGCGTATTCTTTCCTCACGGTCTTCTTACATGAACAGGTTGATAAAAATGCTGAATTGGCTGCCAAATGGAAGTACTGTGCATTGAGTCAAGAGAAACTTAGACGACCCATCGTCTCCTGTGAACTGGGAAGGTGAGTTATTTTTTTGTCTTGTTTTGTACTCGGGCATTATTTGATGTTTGGACACGGTATCGCTCGATGATGTGACAGCGCGAAGATATAAACACCGTTTCACAAATAACAAAAATCAGACATGAATTAAGACTGTACAGTTTTTCATCTTTTCATTACACCACATTATGTTCTGGTGGTCTGGCACATGTTATTTTTCAGACTGTACAACAAAGATGCTATCATTGAGTATCTCCTGGATAAGTCGGCTGAGAGACCTAATGCTGAGGCTGTAGCACACATCCGTGGGATCAAGGTATATTAACACCGAAGTGTGAACATCTAACTTGTTTTTTTTTTATTTGTTTGTTTTTGTAATTAATAAAATACAGAGCTACATTATCCATTTACACAGTTGGAGGTCTTCAGCCCATGTGTTTCTGGACACATGATTGTGTGTTTATTCGTGGTTTCAAACAGGAAATCTATCTATTTGCTTTCTCTGAAGGATATAAAGGAGCTGAACTTGACTGATAACCCTGAATGGGAAGGAGAAAGAAGAAATACAAAGGGAGACAGATATGAAGACATTCATTGTGGCATGTTTATTTGCCCTGTAGTTGGGTTGGAGATGAATGGCAAACACCGGTAAGCAACCTGAGTGAAGAGGTACTAAACCTAAGCATGAAAAAATGAGACTGACTATTCATGTTCTCTCTTTGTTTTAAGGATCAAGCCACTGTATCTAAGTTAATTTTAATATACTAAATACATGTTTGAAATTCACTGCAAAACATATGATGGCATTTGTCTATCTTGCTTCTGATATACTTATGAATTTCTGGACAATTCTGTATTTCTTAAAATTCTCTATTTTTTATTTTATTTTATTTTACCTCTGTTCATAACCACATCGTACTTTAATACCGCATTTGAGATTAAGTTGGAAATCAGAATTTTCAAGTTCCCAGTGGAAGTTTTTATCTGGAACGCCCTCTCAACTCAAATTTCCAACTCAGAAATTCAAAGTAGACATGCCAACCACAAGTTAACAATTGTAAGATGGCAGGACTGAACGTAAACGTTATTAAAAGTGTAAAACTTTTAACCTGTGCTGGTATTGTTTCGTATTTGTGATTCGTTAAATAATCCATTCACACAGCACTTACAAGGTTCGATCCATGACCATGCTGCAGCAGTGTTTTTAAGTCAAAGAAAAACAAGTATTGCTCTGTTTTGTTAATGATGGATGAATAGTTCTTTCTTACTAAGAAGCAAGGTATAAGACATCCTGTTTTTACTGTCTTCTCTGACTGAATCACACTAAACTCAGGAGTGATGTCACTCCTGAGTTCTGACTTCTGAGGTGTCTGGAACACAGCGTAAGTTAAATAATCAAAATGTAATGGAAGTACAGATTTGTATCTTTGATTCTGGAGTTTAACAAAATGCATTTGGTAGAAATGTTGATGCAAGTGAAGAAAACAGTTATTTGGCTGAGAAAACAAAACAAAACAAACCTATCAGAGAGAAGTCAAACACCTTGGGAGTGGCCAAATCTTCAATCAGGTACATTACTGAAAAGAAGAAAGCATTAGTCTGCTCTGCAACTCCATCAAGCCTGAAAGGCCACAGAGGAAAACTAAAGTGAATGAGGTCAAAATTCTTTATGGTTAAGAAACAAAAACATTGACAAAATCTAAGGGCTCCAAGATGCTATGGCACAAACTTGTCTACATGTTGTAGCTGTTTCCTGTCATCAGGGGGTAGTGTCACAAACAATTCGTCTGTGGGTTACTTTTGCTGTTATGCTGTTGTGGGACCTTGTCAGCTGTGGAAAAGAAAGGCGGTAGTGTACAGAGGGAAAATTACAACGTGTCAATAACCCAAAAATGTATGGACCTAACTTTAGATCACATAAAGTTAGAAAGAAATACAGTTCCCAGCCCTGCGTCTGTTATTTATTTCTTTATTTATTTTTGGTGAATGGCCCTAAAAGCGATACAAGTGGAAACTGTTTAACAATTTCATATAAGTGTTTCTCTGTTTTTTAGGTTCTGTTACCTCCAGACTTGTGGCTGTGTCTTTTCAGACAGGGCCCTGAAGGAAGTCAAGACAGAAATCTGCCACAAGGTAGGCAACATTCATTTATTTATTTTCCCAGGTTATTTATCCTCAGTAGGTTGTCAACTGTGACAGTTTTTTTTTTAAAATTCTTAAGACACTTTTAATCTTTACTGCCATTAAAAATATGTAAAACAAACATAGCCAGCTCTATTTGTGACATCATTTCTGCTGAACAGCAACAAGATGATAACGTAGCTTTTATGCTCCTTAAACACAAAACCACCAATAGTTGAACTCAAAGACTTGATGGACCTAAAGTCTCCATCATTGACCTTGGGTGTTTGGCATTAATGCTCCTTGTTTAAGTCACACTCAGCAAATTTTCAATGCTAATGATTTGTAAATAGGCAGGTTTGATAAAAATGTAGATAAGATAGCAGCAGTCTGGTATTAGCTAGGGGTGGGGGAAAAAATCGATTCTGTGTAGTATCGTGATATTTTGTTTGCTAATAATGTATCGATACAGGGACAGCAGAAATCGATATTTTGTTACAAAAAAGGTTTTTGTGCTCTGACTTCAGAGCATGTTGATCCTTTTTCTGAGCAAGAATCCTGACATTCCTTCACTGTCCAAATGTGTTTAACTTTTTTATGGCAGCAATAAACATGACAGTTTACTTATTTTAATTTAAGACATGTTTTATTTTAATTAAGTTTAAAACTTTTTTATTTAATGTAAAATTATATTTTGTTTTAATTTACTTTCAAATTCTTCAGTTGCTGAAGGGGCTGCATAGTTTTCATAAATTGCATAGTTCAGAATAGCTATAATTGTACCAGATGGTTGCATTCAGTTAAGTTGGACTAGACTGTAATACAAACCGTTCAATTTGCCAACAATAAAACTGACTGAAATGAGAGAGACTGAGTGTGAGACTTTGATATTAGATAAAATGAATATTGATAAAGTTTACCTTTATGTACAGAATCTGAATATCGCAAAATATTTTTAAAAAATTGCAATAATATCGTATCGTGCGTGAAGTATTGTGATAATATCGTATTGTGGGATGTATAGTGATTCCCACCTCTAGTATTAGCTTTGTTCCAGATGCACAACTGGTTGCTCAGATGGATAAGAATGCAAGTTAAATTACTGAAGTGTAATGATTTAATGCTCCCATGAGAAGACATAAATAGAAATAAAAACCATCATGTTCACATTGTTTTCGGTATTTAAGGGCTAGTAATAAAAATGTAAGTGAACTCTGGCAATGTTTTACATTCGTAGAATACACACAGATAAATAACTTATTGTTTTTGGGTTGCTTTTTTTAAACAAAAAAATGATAGCATGTTGACTTTTAAAAACTATCACAATATCAGCATTGTTAAGAAAATAAAGCCTGAAGAGAATGTAAATGTAACTAAAGTGCTCCTATAGTCCACTACAAACCACTTTGTTGTTCTATAGGAATATGTGATTAGGCAAATGTTTGAAATTTGGTTTCATCATGTTTTGACCTTTGTTTTGCTGAATTCACAATTTGCACTAGAATCTATATGAACTTTAATTTGAGGATCAGAGGAAGTTTAACGTTTAATCACCTTAGTTGAACATGGCCTTTATATAATGTGCTTTTACAATATTACTGACCTCTTGCTGAATTTAAATAATACTAAACCATAAAGAACATGCCATATCACAACATTTAATTATGTGAGTAGATGTGTTTTGGACAGATTAAACTGCACTGTTCCTTTCTTCAAGTCGCTTCTGAGATTGCCCTAGTTTAAGCCACACGGGAATTTGAATCAAGTAGGCCTAAGGCCTTTTATGGGTTCTGACCTTGTAGTTGTAAGGAGCATTAAAACTATGGTGGAAATTTCCCATGCACAGGCTATTTTGAGGTAACAGAAAGCAGATGGTAGCTGGTCAGTGTTGTTATTTCTGTTTAATTAAAAGCATTTTGGAACAGTGACAGATCAGTTGTTTGACTTTGTCAAAAATATCTAAAAGTATAAGAAAAGCTACAGCGCTTCTTGTGGGAAGCTGACTTAGAATACTGTGATTTTTGATAAGATAGGCTTATAAGGCAGCACAGTTTCTGGAGCCAATATGATTAGCCTGACTTTACCCACTCTTTATTCAGTTGCTGCTAAGTTTAGGAAATGTAAAGTACAGTTCACTTAACCTTAAATGTCAAAGTAAAACATACAAAATAACTGATAATGCAACATCACCCTTTGTTATATCCATGTAAGACAATAAGCAGTTTGTGCTGAGTTTTGGACAGGTTCTATAAAAAGTGATAGCCATTTTGGCTTTTTTTTTCCCCTTTGCATCCAGTACCCATCATAAAATTGTTATCTAAGGCTGAACTGTCAGAATCAAGTTCAGAGTGTGTGTCATTGGATAAAGACTGAATCTTTATCTAAGCCAGCATTTATCTCTTCTTCTTTTTTTTTTCTTTTGTGGGTTCATATTTGAACTCTGCTTGCATGCTGCTGTTTACCGAACACACTTTTTGTCCTTTTTAAGAAATTTTGTTGTTTTTTTTAAAAACTTTTTTTGCAAGGAGTCATTGCATAAGTTGATCTGCCAGTAAAAATGTAAAAATGCCATTCACATAACCAAATGTCTTTAGTCTAGCTTGACTTACTAGAAAATTCTGTAGCCCATATAAAAGAAACCTTATTTTTAAAAAGGCAAAACACTGTTTACTCGGGTATTGTTCAGACACACTGACAGCATGTGCAAGATCATGTGAAAGTTAGGACTCGTTATCACAATTGCTTTTATTTGTTTACACCTGTTACTTCGTAAATAGGAGAAAGGGTCAACACCTTTATCAGCAGTTGTGTTTTTCAAACTGAATGTCATACTGAATAACATTTCTTTGGTAGTGGCGTTTCATCCAAGCTTTAGTCATTATTTTTGCTTTATGGACAGAATTTATTTCATATTTTATTTCTGTATTTAGAAAAAAGGACAGCACTGATAAAGTTTCATAGATAAATATATTAGTATACACACATGGTCTTGAAATGCATATTGAATGCATTTTGTCTTCCTTGGTTTTGCTTTCCTATGCTCACATTATGACATAACAACACAAGACAAGTGCAAATAAGCTCAACTAGATATAGACTGCATGTTTGTAGTGATTTCATTCTCCAGTACTGCTGTTAAAGTAGCTGCTGCTGTTGCTGTAGTTGCTGTGTATGGCCAGTAGCCATGACGGTTCTATGGGAACAGTAGCCTGGTTGATAACCTTGTTTCTGTGCCACTGCTCCAAACAGTCTAGTGCCTCAGGAAAGGTATTACTCTCAAACTTATTGGCAAACATGCTGTCCATGCTGATGATCCATGGTAGGTCTTCCACTCCGTAGATACAGATGTCTCGTATGTAATGCCCTGGAAAACAGCAGCTTGGACATGATTTTTTTTTTAGCATTATGCCAAAATTCGTTCCTTGTATTACGAGTTTCCATTATATAAATAAATATATGTACGCAAGCTTATATAACCTTTGACGTAAAGCTAGTGGAGAGTATGCCGTATGTATGTATGTATGTATGTATGTATGTATGTATGTATGTATGTATGTACATATGTACGTACACGCATATATACACACATATGTACACACGCATATATACACACATATGTACACACACACACACACACACACATATATACACACACACACATACACACGTATATACACGTGTGTATATATTTAATATATATATATATATATCTGTGTGTGTCTATTTATGGATGTACATGTGACTTGCTCACAAGGATTTATGTGGGATTAATAATTTATTGTTGGATTACAAAACTAAATACCTCATTTTTACCACATTTTTATAATTTAAATAATTAGGAAATATTGGTAGAATTTAATCTCTGGGAGAGTAACTAATCCGTTCTTTATTGACATATATGACTATACCTTTGCAACCACTGTGTGCACTTCCTTCTTGATCCCGCCATTTGATTGCCCGGATAGCTCCTTCCCAGCCTCCATCAATGCGACTGCCTGGAGCTTCTTAAAACATGTAATCAGACAAAATTGGTAATTATATGACCTAATTGAATTGTCAAGGTTTAACTAGCCCTGCTCAGGCCTCCTTCATCTGCTGTTTGAGAGTCAGTTCTCGATACATCTCAAAGAAAAGCTAAAGGAAGAGGTAGCATTCGCAGTCTGTAAGCAATTAAAAGTAGAGACATTGATCAAAGTTGCAAAAGTTAAACTTGTTATAATTCCTGATAAGTTTTCATTTTACCAGGGGGTAATGAAATAAAATGTATAAGGATAACAAATGGTCACAGGCAGGCTGGAGTCTATTCTAGCTGACAAAAATGAAAAAGAAAAATATAACCTACATAGACAGAAACCCATTCAGTCTCCTGAACTATGAGAAGGAACTGAAGTACTTAAAGCCCACATAGGTACAGACACAGAAGGCTCCAGTTAATAAGGAAACTTGAACCTAGAACCTTGTTTCATATCATCTTTTGTTTATATCACATCATACTCACATTAGTACATGTTTAATAGTTTTGTGCTAGCTGTTAAACAAGCGTGGAGTTTTGTGTCTGTGCACCTGTTTAAAACCGCCATTTTACCTTTGATATGGTTGAGCGTCACCCAGTAGTGTTCATCTGGACTGAATGTGTCCCTGGACCAATCCAAGAAGTCATGCGCTATTGGGCTTTTCAGAACAAAGTCCACGAAAGGTCTTGTAAGAACATAGTAGGCTGTTCCAAAATATAATTGCAGATTGTGTGGAGGAGGCCTTTTCCTCAGGCCTAGCCCTTTCGGAGCTACATGTGACCCCACAATCTCCTTGTACTGGCGTTGCGTTCTGTACATCATAGACATCGGCTGTTTGACCCCAGGTGTCATGTTTTTATCCCTCCATTGTTGGCTCTGCATGTACTGTACCAGTTCCAGGTTACTCTTAACAGGGAAGTCTTGTCCACACAGATTCACCACCTTCTTCCAGTCTGTCTTGGATTTCGCTAGATCCTTCATGCAATTCAGATCTGCTTGCAAACGAGAAAAACCAGCGTAGGTCACAGTTTCACTGTGACTGGAGAGGAATGTATTTGGAAAGCAGCTGACTAGCTTCTGTACAGCCTCCCGATACTCCCGTGGAGCCTTAGCATCCACGTGAATGCAGTACACATTTTGTGGCATGTAAATTGCCCTCAAGAGGCGGACAAAAAGCTCCAGCTCTTTATGAATAGTCACAATGAAAGCTAAAGGGTAAGCCTCCTCTGCACGACTTAGAGGTTTTGTTATAAAGTGTAAATCTCTTTTCAAGTTTGAGCACGGCAGGTGGCTGTTTAGAATGTAGCTTTCCACCTGTAGACCAAAAAAGCATATATTGCGACTGTTACTGTTGAAACTCATTTTTAAATAGGAATGTCAATGTGACTGTGCTAATGCTCCTAACTGGTTGTTAGATCAAATGAAAATTTCATCTAGAATATTTGTGCTTTTTATTTCTCAGAAGTAAAGAAAGGGTGGGGGGAAAATACATACCTGGTAGTCACAGCTGTACCAATTTACTCCTTTCTTCATGCCTGGCAAAAAAGTTTTACACGCAGTTGAGAAAGGTTTGCAACTTGAAGATGGGGGAGGCTTTAACTCAGGTGGCGTCCTAGTCCTCAAATAAATGAAGGAAAAGATAATAATACTTATCCCGAGGCACACGAGGAAGCTGCGTTTTGTCCCTTTAAGCTGGCGCATAATAGCCCTGTTTCTCTGTAGTCTGCCAGTACCACCACAGTTAAAGCTTCTGCAGTGGAGACATCCAGTTGGATTATTTGCAGAAGGATCCTGGATCCTTGAGGAATATAAAATAGGGTTAAGTATTTAGGTTGGACCTAATTGATGAAGCTAGCTTGTAATATTTGGCACATTAACTGCTGCTGCTTTAGTGCTTCTGCAATGTCTATGGGATGTGTTTTCTAGAACCACAGCTTGCAACACAGGAAGTGAATTACTTCCTGTTCTGTATATCATAATATTACAAAAGCATGGCAAAGGTAATTGATATCGATCACTATGTTAGATGTATTTTTTATGATAATGCAAAGCAGTTCAATTGCGGATAACTTGTTTTCATCTTGTTGTATATTTTCAACGCGGCAAAGGGAAGAAGATGATTTAGTACTTGTAAAACGTTTAACTGATCACTTGCAGAGGAGCGGTTTATTTGCGGGACGTTGAGTGTAGTTTCAGGATTCATCATAGTACTGAAACCTCTGTAGTGAACAATTACTTTACTTGAACAACAGGCTATCCTATTAAATCTCAGTGTCACATTCATTGGCCACAGTATTTTGCTACAGAGACTCATATATGCTTTTGTGTTAAAGGAAATGGTTTGCATTGATTTTAATCATGACTTATTTGATGGATTCCAATGTGTGCATGCAAATAGGGAGTCGTCTTCTCACATGACAAGTTTGTTATTGAGTTACAGAGGGTTCTGTGCTGGGACCAATTCTGTTTACATTATAGATGCTTCCCTTCCCTTGTTATTAGACAATTTTGCATACATTTTCATTACAACACAGATGATACCAAGCTGGTGTAATCCAACCTCTGAAGCTGGATTACACAAAGCTGGATTAAAGCAGCGGTCCCCAACCTTTTTTACGCCACGGACCGGTTTATGCCCGACAATATTTTCACAGACCGGCCTTTAAGGTGTCGCGGATAAATACAACAAAATAAAAGTAGTACCGGTACCGAAAAAAAAAAAAGATTTATTCATAACGCACGTGAAAAGACCCGGGACAACCGAGTTAACGATAAAAATGATAACAAAATAACGCTGAAAACTGATAAAAACCCTGAAAACGGTTCTCAACTCTCGCGGCCCGGTACCAAACGACTCACGGACCGATACCGGTCCGAGGCCCGGGGGTTGGGGACCGCTGAGTTAAAGGACAGGCATGTTTTAGACACAACACTAAAGTTATTATATTTGTCCCTAAAAATCTCTGAAACATGATGTCTAACCAGAACGCAAACTCTTGATTGGCATTACGTTAGCCTCCAGTAACATTGTGAGGAACCTGAGAGTCATTTTTGAACTGGATATGTCGTTCAATGTGCATTAAGCAAATATGTGTCGCTGCTTTCTTTCAGGTGGAGTATTGTAATCCATTAATATCAGATTCTTCTAAACGTCTTCTTTTTATCTCTCTGGCTGCTCACAGTTTGTTCAAGTACTCACTCACAGATCACTATCTACTCCAGTTAATTCTGGTGACCTCAAGGCTCTGTCCTGGGTCCTTTACTTTGTATTATCTATCTCCTACTCCTAGGTGATATTTTGAAGAAGTATAACATGCAATTTCACTGCTATGCAGATGACACCCAGCTCTACTTATCTTCCAAACCCACAGGTACTCTCCTACCCACAACTATTTCTGATTGTTTAAGTGACATCAAGGTTTGGTTTACTCACAACTTTTTTAAACTTAATGGCAATCAAACAGAATTTATTCTAATAGGCACCAAATCAAAACTGACTAAAGTTCCAACCAGAAGTCTATCATTATCCATTGATAACTCTGACAACAGAGTTATCAATGGACTCTCAGGTCAAGAGTCTTGGTGTCATCCTTGACAGCACTCTTTCCTTCACAGCACTAGGGCTGCCACAAACGATTATTTTGATAGTCGACTGGTCAACGATTATTTTTGCGATTAGTCGACTAATCAGATTGTGCGTCCATTGGACGTAAAACTTACAGCTTATTGCACCAGCTTACAGCTTTAAGTGTTTAAGGTATGTGCTAACTAAAAATAAAGACAAGATGATAGTTTATTAAACTTTTAATGAAATTTGCAGATTGTCTCGGTAAAGTTGAATAAACTCGGCCGTCTGCTCCTTGCTATCTAAAATATAACAGGACACCGGAGTATATTCTCGAGCATCTCACACTTCTGATAATCAGTTGTCTGCTTGACGTTTATTCAGCTGTGTAAAAACTATAACTTTAATCTCAGCCAAACCGATTTACTCAGGAACAAATAAAATACTGAAAAAAGCCAAACAATAACATTTTTAAGTTATCTAAGTGACTTATATCATGTTTAACCTGAGTAGCGAAAGACGGCGGTGGGTTTGAAAACGATTTGCCGGGAGTCCGGTGTTCTCACCGGCTCTATGAGCCTTGAACCGAGCTGTTGGGTAACAGACGTCTCCGAAAACGCTTTTTTGGAGGAGGTTTGAAGTAGCTCCTTTTTAGGGACTAAATCGGTGTGCTGTGATGCACCGAGCATATCCCGACACCCCCAACTGGATATGGCAGATTACTGCCCCCCGGAGCCAGTTTTTGCTAGCTGTTTCTTTCTGTTAAAAGAGAGTTCTACACTCCCCACAAACTGCTTGCTTACAGGGAATTTTTTAAATTTTGGTGTTTTCTCCCAAATACTGTTAGGTCCTATGTAAGTAAACCTGAGTTTAATTGAAAAAAGTACAACTTTTATTTTTTATTTTGTTTATTTAAAAAAAAATGTATACCCAAGTATCCTTTGGAGGGCAGAGAAGCTTTAGACATGTCTGAACACTGTTCTCTTTCACAGTAAACATCCTCACTCAAGCCTGTTCCTGAGAATATCACTGAAGATAAAGATATCAGCAGGGAGGCTGCCATGGAAATGTGTATGTTTCTGATCTGCTGAGATTCCTATCCTTCTCATATTGCGACTAATAGAAAGAACAGTTCATATGTAGAAACAAGGAATAGCTTGCTGGTTGTTGGTTATGAGTTTGGGTAGATAAAAAAAAAAACCCTTTGGTTTCTTAAAATATTTGTTTATACATTCCTTGCAATGAAAATTTGAGATCATATTTAGATCAGCATGTTCGACTATATTTTGTTTTCGTGCAATCATTTATCACATTGCTGCTTTGGTCAGAGGCAACAGAAATAAACAGCAGAATATGTAAAGAAAGAAAGACAAAGAAATGCCAAGCTTAGTGACCTACCTTTGATGCAGGTCAATCTGTACTCCTTATAGTGAAGAGGTCAACTTTTGTACATCAGCACCTGTTTGGGTCTTAATGACCTAAATTGCTCCTGCGAGTTATGTTGCTATAATTCATTTGAAGTCCTACAGTGAAGAGTCCGTTCCTTTGGTGCCATCAGCACCAGCAGCAGTAGCGGTAGTGTCAAGCTAAATTGAATTGCCTTCTTGTGTTCTCGTCAGGAGGTTGCTTTCTCAGAGCTTGATGTTGCGTTGTGAGTGAGCCACAGTGGTTTGTAATTGTGTGGAGTATTCTCTTGTTGTGTTTGCAGCTGATTATGTCTCTCCTCCCACAGCCCCATGAGACAAGTCCGGCCCTCCTTGGTTACTAGCGTGAACACCCAATCACACACCTGACATAAGGAGTCATATTCACACATTTCACACACACACACACACACACACACACACACACACACACACACACTCTTTCTTGCTATCTCTCTCTCTCTCTCTCCTGCTCACTTGTGTATTGCATCAGTATTCTTGTTTTTTGCTCGTCTTCGAATCTCATTACCTCAAGTTTCTTCTTTCTTTTTTCCTCTCAGATAAGATCAGTTCCAGTTTATCTGCCCTGTTAATGGTGTGCATGTTTATGCACACTGTGCAGTGTGACTCGTCTCTTGTTCACAATCTTGTTGCCTCTTGCAGTTACAAAAAAAAAAAAAGATTTTGGTTGACTTGTTTACTAACTGACTTCATGCTAGGTTGTGTCATTTTTGGTGATGGTAACAGCAGAGTGACAGACTTCATAGCGGCCCACAGAGTTTATTTGCTGCTTGGTCAGCTCCCGAGATTATCTCTGTTGTGTTGAACAGAGCACATGGCCACGGTTCACACCCAGTGAGCCTGCATTACAACCACACAATGGATCCCCTACTTGTTACTCAGGGGTTTAATATTTGTTTTTGAATATCGGTGTGTGTTTTCCTATTAAAAGCATTCATCCCGTTTATATGTTTAGAGACACAAAAACCTAAGCCTTTTTCTTTTTAATCGCAAGACTTTCACAAATATGTAAGCCAGTTTGTTTCATACAGGGTTATCGTTAACCAGTATTATCCTGTATTTCTATTAGCAAACTTACAAACTGTTGTGGATAAATGAAATCATAACTCAAGTGCTACTTCTGAAACCAAAGGAACGATGAAAACAACAGCAACAATAAAACAAATTACATTTTAATTTGGATCTGGAGCAAATATTAAACTTTTGATTTGGTGTGACAGAATGGTTTATTGTATTGTGAAAATTTCAAGTGTCAAACTGTTGAAATAATAACATAGAATAACAATAACATTTCTTTGTCTTAGTCATTTCATCGATGTGTGCGTGTCTGACTGACACGTTTGTGGCATTTTGTTTTGTTTTTTTCCCCTCTCATGCTTCACAGAGTTTAGCCAGTCATAGGCAGGCAGCATGCAAATAAAATGGAAAAGGGACGTGTCCCGACAAAGAAATTATCTGTGGGTTGATCTAATAGTTTTGTTAGTTAGTGTTGAGTTCTAGGTATGTTTGGATATTAATGGCTCATGGAAAAAGCAAAAGGCATATTTAAAAAAAAGTTTTACTGCCAATTCCTGCAAAAGATGCAAACGAGCAACATTTTATGAACGTCCATTGAGGAAAGTTAAAAAAACAAAACAAAACTGATTTGCAAGATGGATTGGACTACATGTACTTATACGAAGTGAAACTGAAAACAGTCACTTTTTCAGAGAAAATCATTTTAAACTAGCCTGACAGCCAAATATGTATATTTCAAAATACCTTAAATGATGTTAATTACAATCAACTTTCAGTTTTGTTACTTCCTGTTTTGCCACAAAATTTATAATGCATATACAACCAGACAATGTTTTATCAATGCTAGCAGGCGGCAGCTTTTAAAAGTGTAAGTAATTGAAGGGCACTTTTTTAATCCTCCTTGCCCAAGAAGCTACTGTCACCGATAACAGTTTACCTCATTCAAAGTGTGAATCTATTGAAAGGAGGCGCTAGCAACAGCATTATACACAATAATAACACAATTAACAGTAAAATAAGCTAGTCGTGTTTCCCTGGAAATTTCAAGTAAAGGTTTAACGTAACTCCTTAGCACTTTAGTTTACCTATAACTAAAAAAATGTCACTTTTTTACTCGTTCGGAGCCTGCATAGTATTTTAGTTAAAAGCTTTTATTCCTTTTTCAATAAAAATGAAAAAAATATTTTCTACATTGGATGTTGTATCTTGGGTCACGTTTTTTAACCAACCACTTAAAGTCCTGCTTTTCCACACCAGTATTTTCCATCCAAGACTTGCTCTATATAGAGTGCAGCTAGTGATGCTTGGTTGAGTGTTTACTTTACTTTAGGATTACACAGCACCATCCTTCATAGCTTGCTCTGCTGAATGGGGTGTTGTTTCCTCAAATAGTAAAACAGGTCTGTTGTTTCCACCTTGAGAAAGAGAGGAGGTTTATGTGCAGATTCTGCAAAACATCTTGCTTTGTTGGGGGTTGTTGAAGTAGTTCCCTTTTTAGGTACTAAATGGTAAACAGAAGTTGACACAGAACTTGCTCATTGCTTCATGATTTCAGATGATATATGTGAAAGTCCTACCTCATATTTAATTTTAAAACAGTTGTGCTGGATAACAGTGCATTAGCAGAAATAACGCTATCTGGTGAATGTCTTCTGCCTTTACACTTGTTGCAAAACATGTTTGCCTTTTCTAAATTCCTTTAAGAGTCCCTTATCTGGAATATAATGTTTGTGTTATAGTGTGGAGATCCATTTAAAGATGAAGATATTGTTGTGCTCAATGGCAACAAGGAGGAGGTGGACAAGCTGAGGGAGAAGATGGAAGAGAAGCGGGCCAAAGCTAAAACTAAGGTGTGTGACTTCTCTGCTTTTTGATAGAATCTGTCTTCACAACTACAAAACCCTGAAACAAATATTCTTTGATTTTCAGAAATCAAAGAAGAGTAAAGCAACTGAAACGGTGTCAACATCAGAATCAAAAGGTTTGTGTGAAGCCTAGTAAGTAAGTCATCATATGTGTTCAGCATTTGCATGAACAAGGCCAACGAACTAGCAAAAGGCCAGAAAATTTTCTTCTTCATTTGGATAATATTTTGAATGTGCTGTAGTGTACTAGCTGGGTTATTCAAACTTTTAACTCACACTGAATACTAGTAAATACTGAGAAGTTAAGATACATATAAATGTAATATATAGTGTGTGGCCAAGCTAATGCTGCTAATACGTTGTACATCAATGATGGACATTATTACTTCATCTTATTCTGGTTTTGCGGTAATGTATCAGGCTGGTTTTGTCATATTTTACTGACATACAGTGTTTTTCATAATTCCTGTGCAAACTTAGATCCTGACACATTTCCAATAACACAGGATTAAGTGTAACTGTAAAAGATTAGTCATAGAAATAAGTAATATTGGCCAATATCAGCCTTGTTGACTGTCTTTCACGTTTTTGCAATGAAAGAAAGATAAGGAGGGGGGGGAATATTCCCACAGTTTTACAATTGTAAATCAAAATGTAAAAACTTTCCTATATTATACATTTCCTATAATTGTGAATGTGTCTTACTATTTCCAGTTGTTTTTCTTACTCTCATAAATGAGCCAAGAAATGCAAAAATAGTCACACTGAACCAGATTCTGTAGATCTGCAGTCTAACCTGATGTTAATTAGTCTAAATTGAAGGTGTCAGTGTTGTGTGCCAACAGAGAACATTGCTGTGGTTTCCTGTTTTCAATAATAGCACAACGCTCTCAACTCACAAACAAGACTAACTGAGAAACCCCAGAATTCGATTTGCTTTTACTCAGATTAACACTCCAATGCATAGCTGGACTGGCCATTGGGCATACCAGGCATTTGCCCGGGGGGGCGATGGGGATTTTTCGTTTTTATGGGTAGATGTTTTGGTTTTTTTTGGAGGTTTTTTTTTTCTTTACGTAACGGTATAAACAATGAAAGGTGGTGGATTGGCCAGATGCTGGCAGATGTGTAAAAATAACTCAACTGCTTGGTGGTGGCTATGGCGGAGTTTCCACAGATTCAGTAACATTAGCAAGTGGCTGGTCTCCACCACTTGGAAAGGTGAGGCAGGAGGAGGCTGCTAAACAACAGCAGCAGCACTTAAGGTTGATAAGTTGTTGTTAGAATTTACTTAATATTACTTTCTAGTATCAGCTGGCGTTTGCTGGAGCCACAGCTGTAAAAGCTGTTGGTCATGATATCGGTTTGGATATGTGGTGAGAGGGAAGCATGAATATGAAACCAGGAGATGTCCTTACTGAATCATCAGAGCTGAACAGCTGATGGAGAAGCAGGTTTACCTTTTAGGTGACATGAATGAGTTGAGAGGAAGTTATGAACTGTTTCTGAGAGACAACTAACACCAGGATCCTTTTCTACAGCTCCTTGCTGACAGCTGGTAACTGTGCAGGGGTGGGTCTAGCAAAGTCTTGCCAGGGGGCCAGGTAGGGCATTAAGAGGGAAAGGGGGGCACAAAGAAATACGTTTCTTTCTTATTCTCATTTAAAATGTCTAGCTTTTATTAAATAATTTGAAAAAATAATCTGAATCTTACAACCAAAGTTTTCATTTGATGTAAACTGTATAGAAATCCATTATTGTACATAGGGATGGTTTTTTTCAGGGTCCCATCATAATTTCTTCAGAGGAAAGTACTGTATATGATGCCAGTATTTTCCCACACTTTCTAGATACTGTACCAGTACTGTGTGTAAAATGCCATCAAAAAGTCAATTAAGTTTTATTCTTTCTCACCTGTCTTTCTGTCTCCTTTCACTTTTTAAAGGTTGCCATGTTAGAAAAAATATTTGCCCTGCCATTGATGTGGTAAATAAATAGTTTATGAAAATACCACTAAATCTGTCATTTATTATTTATTCACTGAACAGTATAAGTCCACTCAACTTACACAGTCTGGGGAAAACATGGCCCAGGGGGTAGAACAGTCGTTTACCAGTTGGTTGGTCTGTGGATCAATTTGCCGGGCACTCCAGTCAGTGCATGTCTTAAAGCATACATTGGAATGTTTTTGTAGATGAATGTTTGACAAGGTATAGAAAAAAGTGCTTGTTATGAATGTGTGTGTGATTGGGTGAATGAGGGTTGTAGGAAGAAAGCACATTTAGTGCTCAGTTAAAAAGCGCTACATAAGTATTAGTGCTTTTAACCATTTATCCTCTGTCTTGCCTGATTGCTTTCCACACAGACGGCACAGTGTCTCCTCCCAATGATATAGCAGGAACAAGCTTGCAACAAAATGGTGGTGACAGCAGCCAGTCAGGTAAATAACAATACTTGGATCATTTACGTAC